TATGAAAATTAAATCTAATTAGTCCGTCAGTTAAGTAATGAAAAAATATTAGACACTTATATTTTTATTTTGTTGTATAAGAAAACAATACTTAAATAAAACAAATCAAAGTTTAGGATTGGGAGTGGGAGGTAGCTATGTCATTTTAGACTTATACTTACCTACTCAAAAGTCAGTCGTCATGCGATATTTCAAATCAATATACCTTTGAAACTACTCTTTTTCGTAAGAAAATAAAAAATACGTGTCTAATATTTCTAAATAATCTATCAGACGGGCATTAAGATAAAAATAAGTCATCTTCATCTACCCTATTATATTTAGTACCAATTAGACAAGGTAACCAAGACACCATCAACGTCAAATTACTATCAGTTCACTTTACTTATAGCATGGATAACTAGATATTAATTAAATAAATCCAATCAAGTAAACACATCGTTACATTGACGTATCTAAAGCGTTTGATCAGTAAATACAATCGCAATAGTAATTTAACGTTCGACTTACTCTATACATAGAATTATTTCGTCAAATATTAATAAACATAATAGATTGAATATACCTAACTGTGATTGATTTACGAGACTCGTCACCCCATATAACTCTTTCTATAGATTTTTGAAGGAGATAGGCGGCACTGCTTTCTGAATAGGTACATGTATCTTTTAAACTGGGATCTTCAACTCGTTTGTCTAGCGTGGAGATTACAACAAACCCTTTTATCTAGAGGAGGCCCAGTTAGTTAGTAGCTAAAAGTTTGACACTCCCTCCCACCTCACCCAGGTGGGAGAAGTAATTCGATGAATTTCCCCACTTAAAAAAAGGTCCATGAATTCCCAACAATCCTCAAATTCTTAATCCCCAAAAGGGCGGTAACACACTAGTAACGCCTCTGGTGTTCTGGGTGTCCATGAGCGGCCCCGATTGCTTACCATCAGGTGATCCGACTGCTCGTTTACCGGCTTATCCCATAAAAAAGAAGACCATAGTCTACAGCTGTAAAATGATGATGATAATGAATCATTTTATATTACAAAACAGTCGGTATTGAAATCGAAACTCGACGAATTTAAGATTGCCTTAAGTCATATTGTTGTTAAAACACTCAACGATTTCGTTGCATTGGTAGAAGACTTAGACGCCTTTTTTATTTTTTAAAACCGCTGCGACTCCTGTGGGCCAGGATCTACAGTAGATACAACCATGAAAACACTGGAACACTGAAGTCCGGCGCGTCCCAGGGCCACTGTCTTGGTTACCACAACGAAATGAATCAGAAAATATTTAACTAAAGAAAAAAACGATAGTTTCCACTTAGATGCCTTTTTATGAGGGGAGAAAATAATCTAATGAGTTTCCCGCCCTGAGGTGAGAGAGAGTGTCAGACTTTTACTGAATAAAAACTCCTACTCCTACTTTGAGCCAGAACCCCGGTAACCCGCTAGGATGGGTTCAGCTCCGTAGTAGAACAGTTACAAGATACAGTTTAATTTCGACCACTGAGCGACCATCAATTAACATTAATAAATAAACATCAACGGTGAAACTAAATAATATATGAAACGCACAGTTGATTCTATAATCGATAAAATAATAAAACAAAAGCTTATTGTTATGAGTAATACTAATAATATCCTTGTGAATACATGGAACTACAAACAGTATTGATCACAATTAGATAGAAACGTAAATGCCAGGATTTTCATTGAACTAGTTTGGTAAATAGTTTCACCTACGTATATTGGGTAAATCGGTTTTATTCTAAGTACTGTAAACTTAATATTAGGTTAGGTTAGTGCCTAGGTAATAAAGGCACTGGGCCTTAATAGAGAGGTGCCGTAAAAGGCGTTGCAACGTCGGGCTCCAGGGTTGGTCTACTAAGAGGACCCGGTGGCTGCTTCAGGTGCGGATGGTGACCACCGGGGAAGTTTTTGTGAGGTACAAATCCAACGCTCCCTGGTCTTTTTCCCCAAAAGCTAGGCGGTTAGAATTTTGAAGGTTTCCCCCCGTCAACAAAAAAATATGAAAAAAAGATAACAAAGACACAGCGTGTAAGATTATAAGGAGTAGTATTAGATTTCGAGGTTAGCTACAAATTAATGTCTAAGTATTTATTTGATTTGCTTAAACCAATTATCTCTACAAGTCCTACCTGATAATGACATCTATCTATTAGTTTGTGCGGACCGGGTTAAATTGTCGACTTTCGTTTTACCCTTATTCATCTATACTTTTGATATTGTTACCAATTTAATCTCTATGCCTCCGAAAACATTTGAAACCGTGGTACTAGGTCGGGCTTCCATCAAATCGTGTTAGATTATCCCACTAGTTATGATGAAAGAACAGAAAAGCTGAGGAGAGAATAGGGTAGACGACTAATTTTTATTTTAATGTCCGTCTTGTAGATTATTTAAAAACATTAAACACGTATTTTTTATTTTCTTACGGAAACGAATAGTTTCGAAGATATGTTGATTTGAAATGTCGCGTGACGTCACTGCTCAGTACATTTTATACTAAGAAATGACGTTTTAGCCCCCACTCCTAAACTTTGATTCGTTTTATCCAAGTATTGTTTTATTATACGACAAAATAAAAAAATACGTGTCTAATAGTTTTTCATAACCTAACTGACGGAGTAATTAGATTTTTAATTTTCATACCCTGTCGTCATCCCCATTACAAAAATATATCAAGAATTTTAAAATCCTAGATTACTTAATTACTCAACTAACGTCATCTGACCTAAATAACACACTCAACAAATTTGAAGTAGATAAAAAGCTTTCAATTCTAAAGTACCTAGGAATAAAAAATAGAATTTCGTTAAATCTCTTCCCGTCCCACTCTCGTTGGAAAAGTTCGAGAGAATTTCTCGTTAGTGTGCGGATGTTTGTTTTTCGTTATATTCCACAAGTGTATTAAGTGGAAAAATAATGGGGATCAGATTAAACAACATAAATTTCCTTTTACACCTACGGCGTCGGTCTCACAAATGACTATGTTTTTTAAGGCGAAAAATATATAATAAGACTTAAGTAAATAGTTAACATTATTGAGATTGTACTTTTTAACGGAAAAGTAGATACTTAACGTCACGTGTTTTATCCCCGAAGGGGTAGGCAGAGGTGCACACAGAAGTAATACCCACTTTTCACTATTTATGTTATGAGTTCCATGTAATAGGGGGTGAGCCTATTGCCATATACCGGGCACATTTCCAGACTCCGTGCTACTACTGAGAATTTTTTTAAAACCCAGTAATACTTTGCCCGACGGGAATCGAACCCGAGACCCCTTGCCTGGCAGTCGCACTTGCGACCACTCGGCCAACGAGGCAGTCTAGATACTTAAGTACTTAATTTTTTTTTGTTTGTCATTATGTTTCTATGTAGACACATGCCCGTGCATATCGTAGTCAAGAGACAGAAAAATTATCAGAAAATGCAAAAACACATCATTACCTCATTATTACCATAATACTATACTGAAAACCCGTAACAAAGAAGTCGTGATGACTCTATCAAATTCACACAATGTACGCCTTAATCTATGCCCACGTCTTAATCTTGATATACAGCCCGTACCCTCACAATGAGCCATGAATCCCGGCAATGTAAACCTTAAGGGCTTATTATAAAGCGGATAAAATCCATTAACACCACTCCTACTGTGATAATACTACAATTAATTTCATTAATATCTTTCGCTAGTGCCGTTAAAATATTGATGGGATGTATTTTCCTGTACAGAGCTGTTTGTGCTTTGAATGACGTGACCTAGTTACCTGCGTTTCGGATAGATTGTGTTCGTAAATATGAACGTATATTGAACGGTATAAAGGTACTATGTAAGGTTCCTATATTCGTATGTTGCCTTTATACATTTTGTTGGTTGGTTATATGGCGTTAAACAAAATATTTCTGACTAAATATTTTTTAACTGACTTAAACTTTGAGGTTGCAACCGCTTCTAGTTGCTTAACCATTTGTCTATATCACCTTTTACACCTAGATAAGTACCTATAGATAGACATCATCGTAGTCATTCACATTTTTGCCAGAAAACGTGTTGTCTCTTACATACTTACCTACATACATACTAACCTCACGCCTGTCTCCTATGGGGTTAGGCAGAGACTATGGAACGCCAAATGCTACGATTACAATTTGATGTTTTTTAGACGAGCTTTCGCGAGGACACCGGTGTCCGCACACCTATTGTTCTTTAATTGTGTTTATAATAACGGTACTCAAAGGGTTAAGGAAAATCAGTTCTTTATCATAACAGTTTTATGTGTAACAAACTTAGGCCTATTTAAAAACACTTTTCATCCAACAAAGAAACACAAATTCTTGTCTATGTATATAGATATGTAATGTATAAATATTTCCTTTGATACATAAACAACCATTCTTTCTTTTACCACGTACGTCTGTACGTACAAACATACATTACGTAAGTAGACAGTGGGTACTTGCCTAATAGGTACCCAAGTCCATACATTCTCTCGCTACAATCACATGTTGCTGTTAAGGCGCTTAACTTTGGCATACCCGCCCCCCATTACCGGCCTGTCCATTATGCTCATAGGATTTTGTATCAACGGCTGCGTTTCCTAGTAAATACGATGTTTTATTTTGCGACTGTACATTTTAATTATTTCCTACGATAAATGAGGCAGACAGACAGACATTGGCAGGGATATTACTTTTATAGGTTATTTTTTCTTTTGTTTTAACTGGTGGCATTGTAAATGGGTTCTCGAAATTTACATTTTACTGCGTACAGAAAGCACTTTTTAATATTTTTTGAGATTTTATTTTATTACGTTATACCTTTCCCCGAAGAGGTAAGCAAAAGTGCCATATACAATGCAAATATGCTTTTAATATTAAATGATTCCCATATCCCATGTTCCATTGTAGTCATCTTTGGCCAATTACGATAAAAAGAAACCATGTTTTAGATTTATACCCAATATATCTTTCCAGGCGGATAGATCGCAGCAACTCTTTAGTAGAAAGCAGCAGTGGAGTAGGACCACTGAGTCCTGGAGCTAGTGCAGCCATCAGCTCGCTGGGAGCCCTGCAGCCAGACCTGTACACCAAACGAGAGGCTCCCCTTGTGATAGAACTGGAAGGAGCCGGCCCATCCCTCGGCAGGATCCACTTACGCCTGAAGTACGACTTCGATAGATCGGATCTTGAAGTGCATCTTATTGAAGGTAAGGCGATCTTTATTTTCTTTTTCTTTTTCACATAACATAAAATAGCGTCTTTTATTCCCGAAGGGGTAGGCAGAGGTGCACATTACGGCACTTAATGCCACTATACAATGTAACACCCACTTTTCACTATTTATGGTATGAGTCCCATGTAATAGGGGGTGAGCCTATTGATGGCAATATATATTAATAGTACGGAGTTTGGAAATGTGCCCGGTATATGGATACCGGTATATGATTTTTAAAAACACAGAAATACTTTGCCCGACTCGGGAATCGAAACTCTTGCCCGGCATTCGCATTTGCGACCACTCGGCCAACGAGGCAGTCAGTTTTTCTTTTTCATTCTTAAACAAATAAGTACCTGAAGCCCTAAAGGAAAGCAATTGCTCTTGCTAGCCAATGGCAATCTGTAATTTCAGTAGTGTAACTTGGTTCTAGAATAAAATGTAAACTACGTTTTTGTTGCATAAAAGTCAGATAACTACAATACCTGCAACTTCATGGGAAATAGAATAGGAACTTGAACTGAACTACCTTTATTAGTACCTACCTATAACAATAACTAATCAAAGACTTCCTTTATGAATGTAGAACACTCACAGATCGTGGTGTTAGTAGGTGCTCATCGTAGCTAGGTAGATAATTATCTTACCTATAATTATTTTGTGTCTCATAAAGGGTTAATTTAATTTTTCATCGAGTGTGTATAGTGTATGTAGTATAGATACCATTTCATGCAATTACCAAATGCAGCAATAGATTTACAACTTTATGGCAAACTGATAAAGTTTAAATTGTGTAGATACTTACTAAAAAAATACAGATTTACGTATGTAAGTACCTTCAGGTGCTAGCTGTATTTAACCTTTAAGTACACGCGTTGTTTATGGTAACGTTTCGTCACGCGTGGGGTCCGGAAGTATCCCCATAAGTATTTTACATTTATGCTGCGTATTTTTGAAAAATTCTTAAATATTAATTTAGATTAAAAGAAAAGACATATTAATACGTATAAAAAGTTTTTATTATTAGCAAAACAATCAGTCTTTACATAGTAAAAAAACATTTAACGAAATAACATCTTGTACATAGCAAATTTTTAAGGCACTTAACTAATGTTCTTTTTTTTTTAAATTATCAACTTTTGACTTATATATTCTTACTTTCTAATAAAATAGGAAACAAAGAAACGTAAGCTAAGGAAAACTAAACAATAATCATACTAATACAAAAAATCACAACCCCTCAATATTACTGTCGGGCGCTAAAGTAAAATATAATTATTTTGGTTGGCATGGTAAACAAAAGTAATTGCTACTGAATGAGGCTTACAAATAGTTTTTTTGCATGATCTACAAACAATAGTGCTCTTTTTATCCTTCGACCTTGGAGAAATAGAGCACCTCCGCTTCATTTTTGGAGCACTAGGACCAGCCTCATCTGAACTAGGCAAAGACTCTTCTTTGTCGATCAATTTGTATATTATAGCTCTAATATCTTTGGTCAAATTGGCGTCTTCTGATATTTGGTGACTCATTTTTGCAGTTTTCAACAGTAATTCTGAAAAAACAACAAATTGAAAAATTGGCAAAGTGAAAAAATTTACTACGTATAATCACGGGTGGGGTCCACAGGTACCCCGCACGAGTAAAAAATGTACTTACCTTAGCGGCAACGCCACGTAAGTCCACCCGTCGAGAGAATAGGCGGCGCACTGAGATTAGCCAAAATGGTGCGATCGTAGCTTATCAATTTGAAAAAATATAGTTAAAAAAAAGAGCACGTGGGGTCTGCTTAGACCCCGCCCGTGACGTTAAAGGTTAAGTATGTGTATGTATGTATATTTCGGCTTATGGTCACCTTCATCAAACAACCTTGCCCATAATAGCGTGTCATGTCACCAAAATAAACAAATAGAAAATATCATTAGTGTGCCTATTTATAAGTCGTGAAGGTCAGTAACAGTCGTACTCCACAATGGATCCATATCACACACTAATGTAGATAAGGTTTAAAAATAAACTTGTTTAATTAAACGTACGATTGTAAAAAAACAGCCTTTTAAAAATTTTGTGGCAATGACACATAGCGTAGCTACTCGTAGCATTCTCGTAGCAGTTTGCTACGAAATCGTCGTACACTTCACTAATCGCCGTTTTCTTAATTAGGTACATTAAATTCGAATTTAATGAAATATCTAGAGGTTATATAGTCTCTTCCTTTAAAGATGAAGTACCTAGTTAGGTTTTCGGTCCAGAATTCTCACTAACAAACTACCTACTTAACAACTCGAAACTTAGTTCGCTCACAGTTCCATGCAATTAGGTACGCACACCACCTACTTTACCTACCTGTTAGTTTCTTCGAATCTTCAAGAAATAAGAGCATTTCAGCATACCTACCCACCTAAGTACAAGAACAGAACTAAAAATAAAGAACTTCTGATTTCAGCTCATGATTTGGCGGGCTACGAGGCTGGGGGATTCAATGACCCTTACGTGCGGGTCACCTTACTCCCCGAAGTGGACACCCGAGTCCGCCAGACCCCGGTGCATCGGAACGAAGCCAACCCATTCTTTGACCAGCACTTCAAGTTCCCTGTGTCGCACGACGAGTTATCTGACAAGACGTTGCTACTGCAAGTTTTTGATTATGACAGGTGAGATTATAATTTGGTATGCATTCACGTTTCCACGCACGCATGCACCGATTTATGGTAGATGTTCCACCCACACGCACGAAGCGCTTCGCTTCAAGGTTCCTTGTGCGTACTGCTAAAGAGTGGAATTCTTTGCCAGTCTGTATTTCCTGAAGGGAAGTCTGCCTGGCCTGCCTGCCTGCCTGCCTGCCTGGTCTACCTGGGAGTCTTCAAGGCCCAAATGAATAGGTTGCTTATGGGACGACGTACTCCATCGTATACCGCATCATCACTTACCACCAGGCGAGATAGTGGTCAAACGTCGTCTGAGTAAAGAGCCTAGTAAAAAAAAGTGTTTAACTCGTCGAGTACCGGTTTTGTAGACACAATTATAGAACAATAGGTTGCGGTCACCGGTGACCGCTTGGTGTTTGACAGTTTAATTCGTTGGTTATTAAAGTCGAAACTTACAATTCTGCTTATCACTCCGAGAATAAAAGACGTGAAGCTGATTTTGGCACTTCAACCATTCCAACTTTCGGATGATGCAGGAGATTACTATTTATATTGACCAAGAAGGTGATGCAACTAATTCCATCAAAAAGTTTAGGTTTGAAATATTATATAAAATTGAAAAAATTTAAAAATACTTTCCTGTTATTTCAGATTCTCTCGCAACGAGGTGATGGGGTCCGCGAAGGTGCCACTCTCCCGTGTCGAAGTAGCGGGAGGTGCCGAAGTATGGGCCGAACTGTCCCGAGAGCGACGTCCACCAGAGGAACTGCAAGAGCTGCTGTTGTCTCTTTCTTACCTACCATCGGCTGAGCGACTTACTGTCGTCGTGTTGAAGGCTAGGAATCTGTTGCCACCCCAGGAGGGGAAGGATGCTTTAGGTTGGTAGCCGATTTCACTTTAAAGAACGTAAAAAGCACATAATACCTAGAGGTACAAGACCTTCGTCAAGTGATTTAGCCTATGCGACCTGTCTACCCACCTAATAATATTTGTTTGATTGTTTCAGATGTGTATGTAAAAGTATACTTGCTGGTGAATGGGAAGCGAGTGAAAAAGAAGAAGACTAACAGAAAAGAGATCAACAACCCTGTGTGGAATGAGGCCTTGTCATTCAGCCTGCCGTCTGCTAACCTTCAGGAGGCATCGATTGAGGTGACGGAATATTGCTTGATTTTTTCTCGTATTGAATAGTTCCTTTCGTTTTTGAAGTCGATAAAATGCAAAATCTTTCAAATGGTCAATTATGTACAAGAAATCGCTGTATTCGATTGACATACGTCTGGGAACCTATAACACCTACCTGGTTATGGTTTTCGTTGCACGAATACTGAATTTACTAATAAAATGTTTGATTTGGAGGTGAATATGCAACCGATTACTTACACCTGAGATGCAGCGGCAATAAAAAAAACTAATTTAGTCATGGAGTTGTTTTCGATTTGTCACTGCAGACAATTTTTTAAAAAGGAGGAAATACTAATTTTATTACTGTTTCATTTAGCTTCACCTCACCCAGTTTGCTTGTTAGAAGTAAGGCACCTATCTCGTCTAATAAGTACCTAGTAATCATTTTAAATAATAAAGATTGATGTGTAAAAGTGTTACTTTGAAAGCTATTTGCAGGAATAAATAGGTACCTAACATTTCATTTCATTTAACCTTAAATACTTTAGCATAGCAATCTAATAAAGTTATCGTGGTTGTGATGGGTCAGGTATGCGTGGTGAGCGGCGGTGGCAGCGGCCTGGTGGTGGGTTGGTGCTGCGTGGGCGCGGCCGAGCCCGCCGCGGAGGGCCGCCACTGGGCACAGATGGCGCACGAGACGCGCAAGGCCGTCGCCATGTGGCACACCCTCAGATAGACTCCCAAGCACTCTCCTTCACTCGTCTAGTTTATCCCGGACCGATGCAATACTAATCCTTCTGTAGATACTGTTCACTGTTGTCTAGTTAATGCTGTGACGCCCTTCTAAGACGGGACCTATTATGTACCTAACTTTAGAGAGCTATTGATTCATTTGTCAGTGAAAATAAAACATTATTTGGGTATGCAAAACTTAGTCTGCCGTGTGCTTTGTGGGATTCAGACTTGTTTTATTTTCACAGACAAGACCCAAACTCTTTGATCTGGGGCACATCTTACAATTATTCTGTGGGTACAAATCATAAGACCGCCCCTCCCCTTTTAGCTGTTTGACGTCATTGCTGTACCATTTACTGTGTAACTTGTCTGTATCAACTGTTGTAGAGATTTCCTTGTAACAGCATGCCTAATCTATACATTAACTTTACACTATATTACTTAAATACTTCACCGCAGAGCCTAAGTTTGCTCAAAGGAACAATATATAAAATGTTGTCGTTATCAAATTTTATCACTGTTTAGAGCAAATGTGTCTGATATTCAATAGATTGTAGCTTCACAAGTTCGTGTTTGGAATATCGCAATAGTTATGTCACTATAGTCATTGATATAAAATGTTATTGATATGAAGTTTCGCTACACGAAGCACTGAACGTAGGATACTTCTGTTAGCTTTATCGCTCTTTGGTAAACTGGCGAGAAGTCATGTGAGCGAAGGAAAGAGATGATGATGACGTGTAATAATCCCTTTATCAAGACTTATAGGTACTTGTATTACACTCCCTGCCTTCCTAACTGTCCAGTCTCAACTGTGGGCTCCAACTTCCACCTCATACTTATATCAAAAATTATATTTAAAATTACTTATTTATCTTGTTAAACTTTACAAAAATATAACAGACCTTATTATATTCGAGGTACTTAAATTATATTGAGCTTTTGGAACACCAAACAAAAATCTTATGAATTTATAGAAAATTTTATATGAGAATGTTAATTTTTGAAAAAGAATTTTTAATATTGTCCAATAGACGGTTTACCTACACGAATACTACTAATCTATCTCCTGTACTGTCTAACACGTGTGCCCACAGTTATTCTGTCACATAACTAGATATATAAATAAATACTTATTAGTACATAGTCATTCAAGTAGAGTGACTTCTGTCTGTTCAAGGGTTTTATGAATTATATCGAATTTTATTCCAAAAATATACGTACATATTTTATCTAAGTGTATGTATCAGTGTGAAGAGGTATATTACTTTTTATTTTCTTTACAATGTCTGAATAAAATGTCTATTTGTAAGATTAAATGTGGTTTTACTTGTAGAAATAAAAATCAAATGTACAATATTTCCAGGTATTGTTTATTTTATAACTTTTTACATGTGTACAATGTTTTTAAAATCAATAATATGTAGTAAAAAATAATATTATAATAAAGTCGATATATTTTACATAACACAAAACACTTTACCAGAGCTTCGGAGTCCCGTAGTGTGTCGTAAAATGAGTCCAGAGCACTACAAATGCACTATTATAAAGTTACTCGAAACTTACCACCTTTGTCGGCGAGAAGCAGGATCACGTTCAGTCTCAGTCGCCAACTAAAATTGCAGTACACAATATTAAATGCGAGTCGATGGAACAAAACATATTCTAACAACGCCATCACCTCAGTACAGCGGGGCAGACATGCGAAGATAGGACCAAATTAATAACTTCACAATTGACATTAAATAGAAAAAGGTTCCTACTAAAACGTAGTGAGTTGAAAAAAGATAAAAACAAAAATGTAGATCAAAAAAATTATGTCTAAACACGAATTCAACTTCTTGAAGTCAAAAAGGAGAATAACATAAGATCTAAGGATGGGTTTAAAGATTTTGTGAGTGTAAATAAGCATGAGGTAGATGTAACTACATGGTACGGCGCACTTGACACTGAAGCATTACGTATAAACGCAACTCAGAAACAATGATAACACTGATTCAACATATTGATAGAAACGCAAATACTTGCTGATATGATAACCAACATAATAGAAAATACATATTCGATATGAGTATGACTAGACTTACGGCATGCATGGCTTTGGACATAATTTGAGATTTTAAAATCGATTGGTAACTCAACAAAACAAAGCTAGTTATGATTAGGTTAGCTATAAGAGATGTATACTTTACACATCGCTGAAGATTCCTTTGCCTTCGTTCGGACAAGTAAGATAGGATTGGATATCCAGAAGGGTAAGTACGTGTAGGATGGGAGCGTGTGCGTGTGTGGGTGTAATGTCAGGTGGACCGGGAGGGGGTGTGTTGGTATATGCAGTCAGGATCCTTGCAGTCGCCGCCCACCTCGAAAGGACAAAGAATCTTGTTCGGGTCGCCCTGCCAACTGGAAATTACAAGGTTATTAAACAATTAACTGGTTATGGTAATATTATATTAGTTATATGTGGTTATCTTTATTCCCTGTACAATTTTGTCACTAATCTATTAAAAATGGGGTAGGCAAATAAATTAATAAAACATTTAACAATATTTATTCGTGAAACATTTCGGATAGGAAACCATTGCATGACCAAATGTCCATCCAATGTGTCATGAAATGATATTTCCTTTGCGTAAGTAATAAGCGAGTTATAATACATCGTTGTGTGGAATTCAAAACTTATCGCCAAACATAATTCAAGTTTCAATGAAAAATTATTGTTATTAGTTTAAAAATAATCTAGTACGATCACATAAAACGTAGCCATAAAATAAGCAAAACAAATTAAACTTAACGCTTATTGACGTAATCAAAAAACCTTGAAATGGGTATTTACAATTATAATATCGATAAAATAAGGCAACAAAATAGTAGGCATTTAAAAAAACAAATAATTTTCCCCGTTTACGATACAGGTGCAAAGATAAGATTCGAGAGTAATTTATTACTAGGGAAATCAAGTTTTCGCCAAGGTCACTCGGAGCGTCCAAGAGAGGGGCAATAAAAATAAAGGAAAATAGTGAACCAGTGAAAACCAGTATCTACAGAATCGTAAAAGATGTTCGAAAGGATGTGAAATTAGAAGTCTCAAAATAGTATCACTTACGTTGTAATTCCAAAAGCGTCTAAAGGTGATCTGTAGTCATAGCTCTCGTGTCTTCTGCGATCCAGCGCCGACTTCTCGCAATTCCCTCCACCTTCCACAACTGGATGGACGACCAGCCTATTTTCCAGTAAATTTTCATTCCTATCTTTATGTTCCGCATTATTATCATTTGTATCGTCTCCCACTTTAACAACTTTTTTATTACTAGTGACATCCAGTCGTACGGACAATTTTGGATGAACAATCACTAAAGGCGGAGGTTTTACAACTCTTGCAGTATTGTTTGCTACAAGTTTTTTGGGTTCTTCAGGCGTTTGAGCTTCTTTTACTACTTTATTAACTACACATTCTCGATTTTGCTCTTTTTTATCTGCAACTTTCTCAATTGCAATAACTTTATTAATCTTTGGTTCCTCTTTCCGCAAACTGTTATCTTTTACAGGTTTTTGGACTACTACATGCTTCGGTTCTTCTTTTGACAAGTTATTGTCTACTACTCTAACGAGTTTATTGTTTACTATGTGCGTTTTGTTCTCTTCGCTTGCTGGATTATTTTCTTTTTGTAATTTCGTAGCTACGTTATGATATGGCAGACCGCCATTGATTTTGGAATGTGCAGAAGTCGTTGAGCTGAAAAAGGAGTTATAAAAGAAGAACAACCAGGTTTGAAAGACGATAAAAATAAAATGAAACATAGAAACCCAATGAAATGAAGTAACTAGTCTAATAACAAGAAATGGAAGCAATTGAAGTCTAGACCATAATGTTGATTTTACTAAATAACAAGTAAGAAAAATACCTTTTCAATAACATTTGGTGGTGTAACCTAATTTTTGTTAAACAAGTTTGAACAGATCTCGTCTGCTTCCTGTTCAGTGCGATAGCGGTTTTGATGTTGCGAAGTTCTGTAGCGACAATTTTGTATTTTTGGGATAATTTTATTCCCTCTTCCTTCAACTTTAAAATCTTGGCTGACTCTTCGGCAATGTTTTTTCTATAAAAAAAAAGAAAGTAGCAAGTGAAAATCGGAAAACAAAAATATAAAAAGATTAAAAAAAATAACTTCGTAAATACCTTGATGCTTTTATTTTTTCTTCCAAATCATTTATGGCAGATAGTTTAGAGGAATCAGTTGCTACATTTCTCGGTTTTAGTGTATCTTTTACTTGTATAGGAACTTTGTTACTTAAACTAACAGGAGCTTGCCTAGCTTGTTTTATCTTTTCTAATTCTGCCATTCTTTTCACGAGATTCCTATACTCGATTTGCTCTGATTTTGGCAAGTGGGTTACAGCCTAAAAGAATTATGATACTTGAAATAGCTGAAAGTAAAAAATACATTGAACGGAATAATGAGAGTGAATTATTGCAGACCTTAGCAACGAACTTTTCATTTTTCTTCGGTGATACAGGTTGCTGTGTAACATCAGGAACTTGTTTTGTTTTCTCCACTTCCATTCTCGTACTCTTCAAGAACATATCTAATCTCTGCTGGAAATCAGCTTGCTCTGCCAATTTCATATGCATTTTTGTTAAATTCTTAGTAGCTTCATCTTCTCCTTCGGAATCCGATGCGCCAACAGTTATAATGAACCTTTTTTCTTTTGGTACAACAGCAGATACGACAGGTTTTACTTGAGGCAGTTTTATAGAAATTGGTCTTGTATCTTTGATGCTTTCTATAGGCTCAATTACATTGGGACTTACCAAATTAGGTAAATTTTTACTTAAAGAAGTAAGTAGCTTAGCTCGTAATAAATCTTCATCATCGTCTAGTTCATCTACTACTGGAAGTGGACTAGGTAAAGGAATGTTTTCAAATAATGCAGGATTTAGATTTAGTTTACTTTGTTCATCTACAATATTGACTTTGGCACAACCGTCTGGGTTTTCTTTAGTCTTTTCTTCAGAATCTGATCCAATATCCATATCAACTGATTCTATATCAGTGTTATTATCGCTTATAAGATTGTCTCCAAGCTGAGAAGACTGCGAAAGTCTTTTCTTTAACTTTTGTTTCTGCTTTCTTTCAATTGCCTTCTTAAGCAAAGCAGACTTAAGACAAATCAATCTTAACTCTGCTGTATCACTGTCTTCATCATCAGACAATAGTTTGTTTTCAATTTGAACTTCATTTAGAACTGCACTTGTTTTAGTAATTTTAGTTTTGAGAGCATGTTGTCTAAGCAATTCTAGATCTTCTTCAGATTCTTTGCCTGAATTAGAATCTTTCCGCAACTTTGCTTGATTTTCAACCCCTGTAATAACTGAATCTACAGTTCTTGAACAATCAATTGACATTGACTTACTATCTTCATCAGAACATAAGTCTATTACAGATTTGTCTGTTTTGTTTTCTGTGTCCTTTGTATCTTCAGAATGTAATGTTGTATGATCATCAGTATTCATTGAGGACAGTGGTGATAATTCAGCATTTTCTAATACACTGCTAATGTCACTATTTTTCGTATCAGTGACTATGGCTCTTGGTTCTGGGTTGACTCCACAAAGCATTTGCTGAAGCCTTTCACTTAAAGAAGTTTTTGCATCTTTATTGACTACAACAGCATCAGCTAGTTTTCTTCGACTAGCTTTGTACTCATCATCAGACTCTTCACTAGATTCACTTACAACTTTAGGTGGTATCTTCTTCTTGACATGATGGGTCTTTTTCTTATACTCTCTCACCACTTCCTTGGGTTTTTCAGGAAGCAGAATTGGTTCTAATTTTCTTTTTTTCTGTCTATGATGCGTTTTCTGGCGTTTTTGTACTTTAATTGGTTTCTTTTGTGCATTAAAGTAATAATCATCTAGTTCAGTCGCCGATATTTCCGATAAATCATACTGTAATGTATCTTCCCTTTTATGTTTTGTACCTAAAATGTTATGAATGCACTACATGCCTACAGAAAAAACGAGATTCCTTAGACTAGAACAAATATTATTATCTTACCATGTTTTTTTCCTTTTAGGCATAGTCATGAATAAAATAAAAGTTAATTTTACTTTTGGAAATTTGAAACACATGCACAATGAATTAATGTCAATGTTTTTAGTATTTTACATATTAACTAATTTGTTGCTCTTATTATGTATGGAAAGATTTTTTATTGTTTTGTTGTTATTGCAAACCAAACAGTACTTTTTGAGGTTTCTAATAAATTAGAATGTCGAAAATCTAGCAACAAAATTAGGTAACTATTATTAAAGAAATATAGAATTTACTATTGACTGCAATAAACTACCATACCTAAACCATATTTTGTGAAATTCGTCATCACTACATAGGATAAAAAAAAAGCTGAGTAACCGGAATGATCATTCCATTGATACAAAAATTTCCAAAAAATATTTTTCTACTCAATATTGTCATTTTGATGCCACATATAAATATTTGCGTTCCCTTATTTACTTTGGCATCATACAAACAAGTTTGATTACTATCTTTTTAAAATACAGATTATTACTGTGAAGTACTATAAAGAAAAATGATTGATTAAGTTTTCCTGTGTTAAAGATTTTTAAAGCATTGCCCCACACTAGGATTTTCTCCTGTGTCGTGGGTGTGTTTATAAACAAACATTTTCACATACACATGACACCCAGACCCGAAACAACAATTTGTGGATCACACAAAGAGTTGCTCCGCTGGTTACCCAATACCAACTGTGCAGTCAAATTATTTTTGATTTACTATGTGTATAGTCAATTTTTGATCTAAAACATAAATATACAAGCCAAAACAGAATATACATCATAGAGCGAGTGGCATTCATCATGAGGGATATTAACAATACCTGTTAAGCAAGTCAACATCTAAAATTTTGGCTATTCTTGAAATTTAAGTAAAGATATTAGGTACGTCCAATATGTGACATGGTTTAACCGGAGACAATTTAAACTCTGATTGCTCTGATTATATACAAAAGCATGTATTATGCATTTATAGATGATAATATGAAATATAGATTAACTTGTGTTAATTCTAACTCTGAACATATTGAGATTACTACACTCTAGCTAGATAATATGATTGATACCCAATAATGATGCAATGCTTAGCAAAAATTAGTAAATGAAAACAGTTTTCTTTCAAACAGGCTTCTAAGATAAGTCAAGGCAGTATTCTGACTACGTACAGACAAATAAGTATGTATACTCGGAATAAGCATTGCTACTTATACATATAAACATTGTTATTTGATATGAACATTCCAACAAAAATTTACATATTAGCTTGCAAAATAGAATATAATGCAATGTAAATTGAAATAAATGCAAGACAACATAATGATAAACTTTAACTAGGTCAAAGGTTAATTACAACCCAAGGTCGTTATTGAATAATTAGTAGGAGTTAATGTAAGTTGTGACGCGCGGTATATGATGCCTACTACGACTTAGGTTTTCTGTTTCTTACCTGGTCCTGTAGACAAACGTTTTGCTTTCTTACGCTCAAGGACATTGTTGTAAGTTTCTAGCACTTGCAGTCTCTGACGCAACAGGTACTCTTCTTCAGAAGATATATCTGATAAATCATCCACGATTTCCCCTTCTTCCATCTCAGAATCCGCGTGGTGCGGTGGAATATTCTCAACACAAGCCATTTCAATTTGAAAGTCTTCCGCTGTAGAAAAGAAAGTTGTACTGACGACTACGATGAAATGAGTTCCAAAATAAATGTAAACTACTGTGTAGGAAGCTCACCGTTATTAATATATCATTATGGCACGCTTTCTTCTGTAAAACTATATTATTTTTCAGCCTTTTTGTTCGTTTCCTGCAGAAAGCAGCAGTCCGCAGCAGTCTATATTATCTGTCTGTCTGTCTATGAATGAATAAATTCAATGAATACCTTTTTTCATAATTCAAATTTGATACCCAGTCTTTTAAGCTAAAATATGTCGGCAGCTACCTTAGATGAGAAAAACAAAAAATAGGGATAGAGCTCTCTGATTGTCTCCCAGGGAAAAATAAGGATATTATGTATTAGTCTCAAAGAATATAAGTATTTTTTTTTAAGGGGGAAAATCATCGAATGACTGCTCCCGCCTGGGTGAGGCGAGAGGGAGTGTCAGACTCTTACTGACTAAAAACCACCCCGTTCCTTCTCCTGCACGTCGAGTCGGAGCCCCGGTTGCCCGTTAGGTTCTCCGCGACTCCGAATCGGCATCGGCCGTATTGGGCCCCATCTGTGGTGGTCTGATGGCTCTTTGAGGCGCACGCGGAACGCGACGCGCCGTACGCTCGGGTCTGTTTCTGGTCGGACGGGAAGCCACCCATGCTCGCCGTCCGCAGGCCCGCGCTTACGGTGGCCGGAGATCGTAATATAGTATAGTCTTACGCCGATGGCAGGTGCACTGTCCGCGCTGATGGCTGAGATATGAACATACTTAATTAGGATGTGCTTTTTAAGGCATTGGCTGCCAATAAAAAACTGTTGAAGGCAAATCCTCCGCTAATGTCGGTCACCAGTGACTGCCATGGCGTTTAACGTGTTAATCACGCGTAGCAGCTTAGCTTTCTGTGCGCATGGTGATCAGCGCAGAACATAAGAATTAAAAATCTAAATAAAATATGTAGCGATAAAACAAAACCAATTACAATCTGATAAGTTCATATCAATTTTGAAAAGTATGTTGCCATTTTAGTTTCAGCGACAATAAAACATTAAAAACAAGTTTGACAACGACGAGACATAAAATATAGTGAACTGCTGAATGAATTGCTTTGGTGGACACATAAATATGTTGGTGGAATTTATTTTACTTAGCCGTTAATTGTAAACCTCGGGTATGGTTCTGGTCAGGCGGCGAGCCACCCAAGCTCTTCGTCTGTAGGCCCGTGCTCACGGTGGGTGGTGTGTCCTTCACGACGGCTGGGTTGTGACGAGGCAGCGCTTCGCTGCCTCACACGCCCCGCCTCTTCCTTAGCTAGCATGACTGCTTCGCAATAGGAGAAGACGACATCACAGATCTCCTCGCTCCGCACCATGACCCGGACTAAGGCCGGACGCGAGAGGTCGCCGTTGCCGATCACTTCCCTGAGGGCACGGCGGTTCGCAGCTCACGCAGGGCATGCCCCTATCGTGTGTTCCAACAGGTAGTCCTTGTATAACCATAGATATTTAAATAAAGTTGGATTAATTTATTCATTTCCATTTTTAGGCATAAGCATAACAGTCCTACAGACACCGCGGCTGACGTGTAGTCCTACAGACACCGCGAAATACAAAGTCACGTGATGTACCGTCATTTTTCAAATACGAGCATCACTGCTGCGAGTACCTTACTGTATAGTGCTCGCTATACTTTAATTCTACAAAAATATTTGCTGTTGAAATGGTGTCTGGTATAATATACACCTCAGTTGAATTGTAACAATTTAACCACGTCTGATGCAGAGGGTTAACTAGCGACCCGCCCCGGCTTTGCACGGGTGCAATATGCATGTATTATAGATATAAACCTTCCATAAGAATCAACTATTTATTAAAAAACCGCATCAAAATCTGTTGCGTAGTTTTAAAGTTCTAAGCATACATAGGGCCAGACAGCCGGCGGAAAGCGACTTTGTTTTATACAACGTAGTGATAAACACGAAAAATATCATAAAAGTTTTTTATTTACTTACCGATAGATATTCCTAATTGCTTTACAATTTCACATTTACTCATTATATATACGTTTTACTCCCACAGAACGTTTTTTTAAACTTTAACTTTGTCCATTCAGCAGATCATGTAAACAAAGTTAAACACGATTACGAGTAGTGGATAATGGTAATAAATACTCGTTGACTGACAGTAAGGCGGTCAAAACGATACTAGAACAAGCCACGCTGAGACTCAGCATTGTCAAACTACCTTTTTTTTTTTTTTTTGAGGGGGGAAAATCATCCAATGACTTCTCCCGCCCGGGTGAGGCGGGAGGGAGTGTCAGACTCTTACTGACTAAAAACCACCCCGTTCCTACTCCTGCACTTCGAGCCGGAGCCCCGGCAACCCGTTAAGTCTTCCGCGGCTCCGTATCGGCGTCAGCCCTGTTAGGCCCCATCTGTGGTGGTCTGATGGCTCCTTGAGGCGCGCGTGGAACGCGACGCGCCGTACGCTCGGGCCTGGTTCTGGTCGGGCGGCGAGTCACCCGTGCTCGCCGTCCGCAGGCCCGTGCTTACGGTGGCCGGAGATCGTCTCGCGATCCCCGACGCCCGGAGTGTCTCTCGCGACGGCCGGGTCGTGAGGAGGTTCGTTCCCTCACGCGCTCCGCCTCCTCCTTAGCTAGCATATTGTCAAACTACCTACGCGCTGAATTTTGAGAGAATGTAAAATTATGATCACCTCATTTTTTTTAAAGTTTGTGAGTACATTTACAACGATAAGTATATTTAAAGCAGCCTACCGTCCCGTATTCTGCGGGACCGTCCCGTAATGCTAGATGTAATCCCGCTTTGAAATAATTAATAAAATAGTCCCGTAAAACGTTAGATGCGTCCCGAAAGTCCCGCATACCTATTTCCCTACTACACGACACAACACCACACGCGCACTAACTACAGCGCGAATAAATGAAGATAACTTGTTTGACGAATTAAGTTATGTGTGTAATTACGTGAACAATGATGTTCTAAAGGGCTAGAAGGAGCAAAAGTTCAGCACAGAACAACATTTTTTTTTGTAGGAGGAATATCATCCAATGACTTCTCCCGCCTTGGATTAGGCGAGAGGCAGTAACAGACTCTTACTGACTAAAAACCACCCTGTTCTTACTCCTGCTTAGGCCTTCCGCGGCTCCGTTTCGGGCAACAGCCCTACTGGGCCCGTCTGTGGTGGTCTGATGGCTCTTTGATGCGCGCGCGGAACGTATTTTTTTAATGAGTGCTTTTTTATGGACGTCGGAAAAATCGTCGAGCGAACGAGCGTTGTTTGTACTTAAATTTAATATTCCAAGTTGCGAAGATTTTCATGACATACCTACTCAATAAGAATCCTAAACTTGTTAAAAAGTGTCACTCTAGAGCTAAATATGATTTTAAAAATAGTTAAATAACTTTTGTACCTAAGTTTTATGTTTTTATGTAATTGTAGGTGTACCGAATAAACTTTATCCACAAAAAGTTCCGCATTGGACTTTCAGAAAGTTGGTCGCCTAAATATTGGTGTTGCAATTCGATTGCGAATACGATTAAAATCGGTTAATAGTTTGACACTGACAGTAATAAGTTATAGGGTAAATAGACAACGTGACTGAAAGCGTCAAATGCCATCGCTTTGACATTGTCGTTGTTTTGACAGCGGACGGAACAGAATTGTTGTAACTTCAAACTTGTAATGAAAATGACAATGAGAACGCCCCTAATTATTGGAAAATTGTTTTAGAAGTGGGCTAATATCAAAACATACGTTTATTTTACAGACGAATATAATAATATAGATAAAAAATTCTGAAGGTAGTGGTAAGGTACAGCTGAAAATGTATCAAGACAACGAAGATGATTGTAAATTCGCTGCTTGCACGTATTTTGCGAAGAACCATCCTGGCGAAATGTGTGGAAGCAATGGTTTGCCGCTTACACCAAGTTCTATAACAATATTAGGACGTGCCCAACGTCTATTGACTATAGAACACCCAAACTTGTGTACATATCTTGACGTAATTAGAGGTAAACATGGTAAGTTTGAGTTTTTATTTAAATATTAAAATAATCTACTTTTGCCAGAGTATTTCCAGAAAAAATCAATGGTTATACATAATTTGCAAGAGACTAGGCAGAAACACTCTCAGATAAATCTAAGCCTTTTAAATTGCAATTTTCAACCAATTTACCAATCATGATTATTATAGCATATTTTGTTAGGAAGGAGGCTCATAGTCCAACAGTAAATTGTCACTGGCTGTTAATAATGATTCTAAAAATTTGAAAAGAAAGAATGAAAGAAAAAAAGAATTGAAATGAAAATATAAATATTCATTTTTATAATTGCATGATGACTACATGGTTAGTTCGATGACTAGGCAACCAGCTGCCACACAACATGTACCGGGTTCAATTCCCATACAAAGCAACTCTTTTTGCATGTGTGTATGTGAACTTGTATCTTTATAAACACACCCACAATACAGGAGAAACTCCTAGTTCCAACTTATTTTTTTAATAATTAAAAAGATATATCAACATTCTTCTCCACAGAAAGAATAATAGTAGTTGCAGAGGTGATAGGAAAGTCGCTGAAAGAATGCACATCAAAGTTTTCATTTCAAGAGATTGTGAACATTGCTAAGCAAGTAGCAATAAGTATGAAGTTCCTGCATGATCAGAATATTACACATAGGACACTGTCTGATGATAATATTCTTATTGATAATGAAGGGAGAGTCAAATTGTTTAATTATGGATTGTATTATATGACTGATGGAGGCAGTGAAGTGTCTTTTCCTTTGGGGTGAGTTTGTTATTATTTGCCACTGACATTGTACAACATGAATGTAATTCTAGCCTGTTGAAATTTGTTGAAAATCATCCCCTAAATTTGTTAATACAAAAGTAGTCTCTAAACATTTTAAATAAGGTCTAAAATGTAGTTATTAGAGAGTGGTTACCGGTGACCGCTTGGGGATATATGGGCTAGCATATGTGCCTGAGGACCTACATAATTTTAACTCAATATTTTGGTACTTACTTTTTTCTTCAGAGATTAACTCCCCAATACTGAAAGGCTACTCAGTTTTAGGTTGTACTTTAATATCCTGCTATCTGTGTCATTTTACAAAGAATTTGTAGTACTAACTTAAGCACAACATAGAATTGACCACCGTTTGGGTATTTGGACATAAACAATGTGATATCATAATTATTGTCCCATTCAAATTCTCTTATTCTAAAATCTTTTACATTCCTCTTTAATTTTATTGAATAGCACTTTTATACTCGGTGTGTAATAAAAATAAGATTAACATAATTATTATGCCAGAATAATTATTATAAACCAAATCCAATAATAATAATAATACCCAATTAACATTCCTTCAAAAATATTCTCCTCTGGAAATAATCTTTGACCTTGATCCTATATTTCCAGCTTACCAAGATACCTAAGTCCAGAAACAATACTAAGTGGTGGTGGCCCTGCAGCTGATGTTTGGAGCTATGGTATTATACTTCTAGAACTTTCTATTGGCAAACTATGGAACAATCTAAAACCTGGCCCTATATTGAGAAGAATACTGACCCTTGTGCATGCTAACAACCCAGCAGAGAGGATAGCTAGGGAACATGACTGCTTTGAGCAGTATAAAGTAGGTAATTTGATTATAATACTTTTTATTTGATATGAATAATTTTTTAAATAACTGTCGTGATCGTGAGACTTCGGCTGCGCGGCGATGTCGCTGGCTGTAGGTTGTGCGACATCGCCGCGACAGCGCACGCTGCTCACGAGGAAGAGTTCCTCTGTGACTCGAAACTAGTAGAGCTGTTGTCAGTATATTTCCGTTAGTAACTCGTAATTTTTAGTTAATTCCATATGAATTATACTCAATAATATTGAATGTAATTAATGATTTTGAAGGGCCATACATGATTGATATAAAAGTATAATATATATATAGTACTTGATAGCTTTTAACTATCATTATCTTTTGCATTTAACTACTGATAAACTGATAATGTAATAATTATATTATTCTTGATATAAATGTGTACAATAATACATATTTAGAAATGACAAATATGAAAAGAAAACTAATTTTTCATAGATACAGTTAGCATTTAATATCATTGTATCAAAACACAATCATTGTGTTTTGGTAATGTTGTAAAATTACTTTGCCCTCATCGAGAATCTTTTCTCCTAAAGTAACATATTGTCCGTCAATTTACAAACAGAGATTATAAGGACTTATTAGGACTGCACTGTAACTGTAATATGTATGTTAAAATTCTGCAATTTTTTATCTAGAAATTGAGTAGAGTATTAACCTGTCGTGTGTCCAAACGTAGATCCACATGAGACATACTGTATTTTCTATTGTGTCATACATACGGGCATTGAAGCGGTTAATGTGTGTACTTATCGCATTATATTTAAATATTAATGTCAACAAATGTCATATCTTTAAATAAAAAACAGTGTCAATGTGTCATTGACTCAATATTATGTTTATGCATTAGGTATACTATGTATGTAAGACAAGTATGAATAATTAATTACATAGATAGTGTATGGAACAAAAATTATATTATGGTGGGGAATTGAAATTGATAATTATTTTTTTTTAACAGAGTCAATGAATTAACTATTATTATTACACAACTCATTGGATATCAATATCTTACCCCAATTTTTCCCTGAAGGGGTAGGCAGTGGTGCACATTACGACACTTAATGCTAATGTACAATGAAACACCCACTTTTCACTATTTATGTTATGAGTTCCATGTAATAGGTGGTGAGCCTATTGCCATGTACAATTCCAGACTCCCTGCTACTACTGATATTTTTTTTTCCACAAAATCCAGTAGTACTTTGCCCGACCCGGGAGTCGAACCCGAGATCCCTTGCCCGGCAGTCGCACTTGCGACCACTCGGCCAACAAGGCAGTTAGTTTATAATTACTGTGTCTGGAACTAAATATTGTACTACCTATGTAAAAGGCTTAATTAAGTGCCAAACTAAACAGAATAATTATTGTTACAGCAAGTACCAGAAAACTTGAGGAATATCATAGAAAAATGTCTCAAAATATATCCTAGTGAAAGGGCAACATTTTCAGAATTAGTAGAAGATTTAACAAAAATTGTTTCAAAAGAATTGGTCGAAGTAAAAACTCCTCGCGGCTTAATGGGCTGTAAACTGCAATACCTTTACCATCTGTGGCAACTGGCCGGCGGCGATATTCAAGCGGAATTAAAAAAGAATTACCTTATCAAAAATAGCCCGCCAATTTTGTCTATGCCTATGTGAGTATTTGAATTAAGAATTCTATTAGCTATTGCGGCGAAAAAAATAAAAAACGCCTCTGAATACCAAGCACGAATAACTATCGCATTCGTAACGTAATAGTGCCTCCATACTCCATCTGCAAGATACAGTATATCCTTACGGACAAACTTGTGTAAGTCCACCAAAGATTTCTGTACGTGCGTCGGTGCGTCCTCTTAGCAATCTTTTCACTGACGAATTGTTGTAATAGTATGGACTGCGTTCGGCGCTCGGATTGGTTGGTTCACTAGAGCCGGCCAATCAGAGGTTTTAGTACGAGTTTCCATTACGATTAAAGTAATCGTAACGAGTACGCGTTCGACGCTGTGATTGGCCGGCTCCAATGAACCAACTAATCAGCGCACCAGACGAGGTTTCTTTCGATTACTTTAAACGTAAAACAAACTCGTACCAAGGCCTCAGAGCACTGAACGCGCTCAATATTCTTACGTTACGAATGCGATAGTTATTCGTGCTTGGTACTCTGATAATACGAGTATATTAGTCAAGTTATTCTGATGAGAAAATAAAGATTATGCAGTACAGAGATAGTAAGTAACAATAGATTGGTGACTGAGTCTAGACTGAGAAATGGATTTGTTAAAAAGTATACAATTTAGTATTTACATCTTTATTTCCATACCTGCACACCAAGTATTTTTTTATTGAACATTATCCCACAATGAGATTATGTCCTGTGTCGTGGGTGCGTTTACAAATATGTATACAAGTTCGCATACATGTAGCACCCAGACCCGGAACGACAATCTTTGGTTGTTCCGTGCAGGAAACGAACCACAGATTGTCAACACGCAAACAAATAAACAAACACGTTGCGCGGCAGCCAGTTGCTCAATGTGCCTTCAAGTACTTTCTACCAATATAAGTCATAATATTCTATTTCATTCAATTGTAAAGTATGTTGCCTTAAAATGAATTTCATTATTTACAGAGCAATACTCCTAGACGGCTGCACAATAGGTGGTAAAACAGGTGCGTTATTCGACAGAAGACTAGCCAAGTACAGCTTAGACCTTCTAAAGTCTCGTCTCAGTCATGTACCACCTCAAGACTTCTACCCACTGATGCATGAACGAAGAAAAGAATATGATGCAGTTGCTTTACCCAAGATAATCAGGGAAAGAGATACGGAGTATCAGTTCTATAGACTTTTATGGTTCCATCGGCTCTTACATGTAAGTTGTTATTTGAAATTTAACCTTGTTGTTTAATAGTAAGGTCGGTTCTATTTTGTACAAATGAATGCCTTCCGACAACAGGTTTTGAATTCTGAATTAAGATGGTGTAAAATAGACTCTGTTGCAGGAGAATAAAAGTTCGTTTTGTGTTTTATTTTGCTTGTAAGATTTTACTGTTCTTCAAAAGTGATCTCTGTATGCAAATTGTTAAGGTTAAATTCGTCTTTTGCAGACATTTATGTTATAAATAATATGGGATGACACAACAAATTAGGTCTTGCTAATGTGAACTAGACTAAACTAGATTTAAACTTAATAGACTCCTTTGTGTTTGAAATTGCATTTTGATTAGATAACAAAAAAGGGAATGTTCAATTCCATGATACATTATGTTATTTAATTAATGTCGTCTCGATTTATTTGGTATTATAGAATTGAAATCGCATCATTCCATGTTCCATGCTGATTGATAAGTAGTAGTCCTTAGTAGTGTAGATAAAGTACCTATACCGGATTGTAACTTTGTTTCATGAGTTAAAGTTTTCAGTAACTATATAACTGGCCAGTAAAATGCCATCGGGGATCAAAGGCACTATAATGTGTAGGCCTTGAATACTGGCTTGTTCTATATTGTTTAACTTGTTCACAGGGTTACCCATACACAGCGCCATACATCAGAGCCGAAGCGGAGATAGATATACCGCCGCTAGTTAGAGGCGACGTGTGGGCAGCTTTACTAGGAGTAGTGGGGGACATAGAGGATCAGTACGAGAGGATTGATAAGGAGACTCCTACTCCTACTGATAGACAAGTAAGTAGTCATTAAAATACAGCTGCCGAACGTTAGTTCCGGTATTTTCGAACCGATATTTTTTTTAAAACTTCAAGAAAAAAATGTCATCATCATCACAAAACTGCTGAGCAAAGCCTCTTCTCACACGGAGAAGGCTTGAGCATTAATCAACCCGCTTGCTCAATGCTGGTTAGCGACTACAAACTTATAATTAGAAATTATTATAAGCCCAGGTTTCCTCACGATGTTTTCCTTCACCGTTTGTCAGTGGTGTCTAGATAATCTTAAAAAGTATTTACCAGCAGGATATCTGTCTACGTGTTTGCCTTTCAAAAAATATCTTCTAATCCATTCACGGCCTCTTTTGTATGACTTATAATATTCAGTTGATTGATTGCAATTAGTTCACAAAAAAATAAACGATACCTATTGCTGCTTGCGTTGCATTAGCTAGCCACAGCTTTAGGTCACGTCTTGATTAAATTTTAAACTCTAAATAGCAAAGGTAAAGTCTATTTTCCCTTAACAGATAGATGTGGACATACCCCGTTGCCACCAATATTGCTGGTTACTCTGCGGCTCAGCCGGTCACAAGACGTTGAAGAGGTTACTAAAAGCCTGGCTACTGACCAACCCGCAGTATGTGTATTGGCAAGGACTGGACTCGCTCACTGCACCATTCCTGTATCTTAATTTCTGTAATGAAGGTTAGTGTGTGCTATTTTGTACTTTATGTTGATTGTGTTATAGTTTAAAATTTAGTTTTAAAGATAACAACGGAATAAGTGACTATTATTAATGGGTCTAAAGGCTCGAGATTAGTCGTGGAGAACCTAACGGGTAACCGGGGCTCCGGCTCGACGTACAGGAGAAGGAACGGGGTGGTTTTTAGTCAGTAAGAGTCTGACACTCCCTCCCGCCTCACCCAGGCGGGAGCAGTCATTCGATGATTTTCCCCCCTTATAGGCTCGAGATTAGATGCGTATGCGTATACGTGCGTATGCGTTGATGAAAGCGTATACGTGTACGTACCACTGAGTTGTAAGTTATAATGTATGTGTAATTATATGACACGGACAGACCTTCCGTATCGTAGACGTGCGCGTCTACGTAAGCATCAGAGGGCCTAGTGCGAGATCTTTTTACGCATAGCACGATCGAAAAACGTTGCCGCCTTTAGCCCTCAAATTGGTTGAATAACTTTGAGCAGCCAATCAGATCGTTGAACATCATAAACGTTTCGATTGCGTTAACGCAAAATAAACTTATACAGGGCATTTAAGTTTGTTCAAGCCGTTAGTAGTTCTGGTAACCATTTCAAATATTATGGGCGCTTTTTCGTATCTACATTAATACATCTCTATCAACAGCCCGCGCCTTCGCCTGTCTCTCAGCATTCGTACCGAAGTTCCTACACAAGTTCTTCCTAAAGGACAACAGCGCTGTAATCAAGGAGTATTTAGCTAAGTTCTGGCAGATGACCGCCTTCCACGAGCCTGAGCTGGCCACACATCTACACGAGATCAACTTTGTACCGGAACTGTTCGCTATACCATGGTTCCTAACTATGTTTTCACGTGAGTTATTGAAATTTTGTCTTGAATAATATATACACATACATAACATCACACCTTTTATCGCCAAAGGGGTATGCAGGGCATTATGACACTGTACAATGTAACACCCACTTTTCACTATTTATGTTATGAGTCCCATGTAATAGGGGGTGAGTATATAGTATATAGTTTATATTATATAGGAGGCCCATTTACCCCCGCCCCTCCTTTCCCCAATCCCTGAATCTCCAACAATGCTCAGATTCCTAATTCCAAAAGGCCGGTAACGAACTTGTAACACCTCTGGTGTTCCAGGTGTCCATGGGCGACACCGATTGCTTATCATCAGGTGATCCGTCCGATAGTTTACCGGCTCATCCCATAAAAAATAGTATAAAGTGATAGATACCGATATAATTTCTTATTTCTACTTCATTATCAGTGTGCTAAAAAGGAGTGCTATTACTAAGCATGATTAAAAAATTGTATCTAGAGTCATACATCTCAAGTAACGAGGTAAGACGTCCCATGCGCCAAGTCTTAGCTACTGTTTTCGTATTAGCACGTTAGATACTTCCTAAGTGGAATTTTATGACGTAAGGATCACTTTAATTACATTATGGTCGCAAATAAAACGCTATGTTTATGTCTCAAAATATTGACCTACATTCTAACCCATAATTCTTTTTCAGACGTATTTCCCCTGCACAAGATAGTGCACCTATGGGACGCATTGCTAGTGGAAGGTCCAGCTTTACCCTTATTTATGGGAGTAGGGATACTGAGACAGCTGAGAGACACGTTACTATCGTCCGGCTTCAATGAGTGCATCCTATTGTTCTCTGACCTACCAGAGATTGACATTGGAGAGTGCGTCAAGGTACGTTGTCAAGAACTTTTTGGACTTTAATGCAATTTATGAGTTCTCTTTTTTATAATATTACGTTTTTTATCCCCGATGGGGGTAGGCAGAGGTGAACATTACGGCCCTTAATGCTACTGTACAATGTAACACCCACTTTTCACTAAATATTTAATGAGTGCCATGTAATAGGGGGTGAGCCTATTGCCATATACCAGGACGATTCCAGACTTCGTGGTTGTCCGAGTGGTTGCAAGTGCGACTGCCACGGGGTCTCAGGTTCGATTCCCGGATCGGAGAAAGTATTATTAGGTTTTTAAAAAAATCTCAATAGTAGCACGGAGTCTGGAATTGTCCCGGTATACGCCACTTAGACTTCTGGTTCGGTAATTAAACTTTCCTCATTTTTCACTCGTTCTGTGTCAGTATCACTACATCTACTATGCAAATGATATAAACACTTCATATCTACACACATACCTACATGCGTATAAATCTCCATATCCTTACTAAACACTCAATTTGCTTTGACACTGACATTGGCGGGAGTCGCGAGTGTGTCAAGGCTTTCTAACAATAGCTTATCAACAGCTATTCTGCGCCCAGACGAGACTAATAAAATACTTTGCTAAACTCAGGAACCCCATCTAAGATCTCACACTATCGCCCGAATACTGAAAGCTTACTCAATATGTATTTAAATATCGTGCCATCTGACTGTCTGTCATTTTACAAAGAATTTGTAGTGACAGAACTAAGTAAGTGTGGGAGAGCAATGCTTCGGCACGAATGGGCCGGAGTGATACCACGGCCTCACAGAAAACCGACGTGAAGCAACGCTTGCGTTGTGTTTCGTCGTGTGAGTGAGGTTACCGGAGGCCCTATTACCCTCCCCTTCCCCAATCTCCCCAATCCCTGAATCCCCTACGATCCTCAAACTCCTAATCCCCAAAAAGCCGGTAACGCACTTATAACGCCTCTGGTGTTCCAGGTGTCCATGGGCGACGCCGGTTGCTTACCATCAGGTCATCCGTCTGCTCGTTTACCGGCTTATGCCATAAAAAAAGTGACAGAACTATACTTAAGCGCGACTTTCAGTATTCGGGCGTAAATATGTCTAATATAGTCCAAAGTTATTAAAACTTTCTGTCTGCTAATAAAATGAAACAATAAAGTTTTATTTAAGTTCCCCCTTATTTCATTTATCTATATAAATAAACCAACGAGCATGCATGAATAGACTGACTGTTAATGAAGCGAAAGAGGTATGTAGTAATCGTAACAAACCCTATTGTTGAGATGCGTAATTTTTATTTTAATGTCTGGTACATTATTTTAAATCATTAGATACGTATTTTTTATTTTCTTACAGAAACGAATACTTTCCACGATATAATGATTTGGAATGTCACGTGACGTCACTTCTATGTACATTTTATACGTAGAAATGACGTTTTAGCCTCCACTCCTAAACTTTGATTCGTGTTATCTAAGTATTGTTTTCTTATACGACAAAATAAATAAAATACATGTCTAATATTTTTTCATTACCTAACTTACGGACTAATTAAATTTTTAATGTTCATACCCTGTCATCATCTCAATTGGCGTTCCATGGTGTCTGCCTACCCCCATAGGAAATAGGCGGGAAGTTATGTATGTATGTATGTGTATGTATAAATAAATGTTGGCTTAAAAAAACTTTAAAAACAAATTCAATATTCTTTATCTACGTAAACATGGCTATATATCAATCTAAACAAAACTAGTATAAAATGATTGTTGAATGTGCAGAAAGATCATTTAAAGAGAGACCACGATACATTGGTTTTTATAACTGGGATGTGTACAAAGAAATCTTCATATGATATCCTTACTGAAAACAGTGGAGACTCAAGTCGCTTTGACACTGACATTGGCGGGAACTGCGAGTGTGTCAAGGCTTTCTAACAATAGTTTATCAAGAGTTATTCGCCCATTACACTGCACAGATGATTCCGATACCTTGGCACCGTTGTAAATGTTTATAAGTGGTGTTTCGTCATCATTTCTAACTGAATTTAGTTATAGTATTTTGTATATTGCTGCATTAGGTTCATGGTTCTTTGTCTTGGAAGGGTAAGCTGATGATAGGTTTTGTGTTGCTTAATACTCAATATTCTAAAGGTGGATACGTAGCGGTTTTTCTAGTAAGTTACTTCTTATTTTAGACATTCAATAATATAGAATTGAACGCTCCAACGGGCAACAGGCCTCAATAAATCCTCTATGCGAAATCGTGTTTGCTTGGAAACGAATTTGTATGAAATGATCAAAATTATCGATAAAAATAAGAAGCAATATTCAAAAGAACTGTCAATTAGGAGTCCTATTATAATTATCATAAAATCTACAGTCTATCTCCCAAATTGCCGTTTTAGAACGGCAAATAGGCAATTTTATAGCTAAAGATAGGAAATTTCGAAGTTTTTCTAATACAACAGTTATAACTATCATATTAATTATTTCTTGATTTACATTAACATGTATTAACAACTTCCAAGGCGCTTATAACAATTTTATGTGCAAAATATACTAACGAATTAACACTATGTTAAACCTATACTAAACTCAATTCATATAACCATGTAACATAAGGTGAATGACCTCTCTATATCGGAAAAAGTTACTAACATTAACGTCTTGTGAGGTCGTCGAACTTTGATTCAATCAATCAAGTTAGCCTGTAAACTGCTCCAGTGATGGCTAAAGACTTTTTTTTACACTTAGAAGTAGTGAAAATTAATAAATCATTAATTGCACTGGAGATTTTTTTTATGGCGTAAACGAGCAGACCGATCACCTGATGGTAAGCAATCGGCGTCGCCCATGGACACCTGGAACACCAGAGGCGTTACAAGTGCGTTACCGGCCTTTTGGGGATTATGAGTATGAGGATCGTTGGGGATTCAGGAATTGGGGAGATTGGGGAAGGGGAGGGTAATTGGGCCTCCGCTAACCTCACTCACACGACGAAACACAACGCAAGCGTTGCTTCACATCGGTTTTCTGCTCGGCCATGGTATCACTCGGGTCAAGCCGGCCCATTCGTGCCGAAGCATGGCTCTCCCACATTTAAATATTGATACACATAATTATAGATTCCAGAATTATAATTTAAGTAGCTTCGGCCAGCACGTAGGTTTAGGCTTCGATAGGTTATAGGGTAAGTTTTCCAATTCGCGTCCATGTAACAGAACGCCATATAAGAAGAGAACTGTCACCATATAAGAAGTATTTAGTATACATCTGTTTAACCTTTTCACGTTGTATCTTACATTCATGGCGATCTGTGAAATGGATGCGAACTGGTGACTCGCGTCCAGTCACACTTTAGTAGGGCCAGGCGGCCTTTAGTAGGGTCGACGCGAACAAGCAAATATACCCTATCTACTTTATGCGCCTATTTTTATCTTAATTAGTTCAGTCGTTCTGAGATTCTCACATTTGTACAGTTTTTATTTTTTTTTTATTTTAATATAGACTACTTTTTAAGCTTAGCTCATGATATTTTCCTTTATGAATTGTAAATGAATTTTAAGTGCCTGCTTCGAAATAATTGCATTGGTACTTTCGAACTTAACCACCTTTATGCCTGCGAAACGGAGTCTTGACTTTTATCTTTAAACCACTACAAACTTAGTATTTATGGAAAAAAAAAATAATTAAATACCTCGATGGCCGAGTAGTCGCAAGTGCGACTGCCGGGCAAGGGGTCTCGGGTTTGATTCCCGGGTCGGGCAAAGTATTACTGGGTTTAAAAAAAATCTCAGCAGTAGCACGGAGTCTGGAATTGTGTCCGGTATATGGCAATAGGCTCACTCTCTATTACACGGGACTCATAACATAAATAGTGAAAAGTGGGTGTTACATTGTACAGTGGCATAATGTATACCTCTGCCTACTCCATCGGGGATAAAAGGCGGGATGTTATGTTATGTTATTTAATGAAGTAAATGGTACTGAGTTTTGCTTTACATTCCGTACTCTGAATGCTATTTTGACAGCTACGATAGGGGTTGTATAGTTTTGACATTGAATAATTATTGAGTTTTTATTCGATTGAAATTGCATTGAAATTGAGATTGATTTCAAGAGTAAGCACTCAGGAGGTCGTAAGGTTTTCTGCCACCGTCGTAGTATAAAAAAAATAGTAGTGACATTTTCATTGATAACTTAATATTTCCACAGGAATCAATAGAGATGTGTCGAAGTTCTCCGAGGAGTGTCAGCTATAGGAGATTCACTAATGAAGCTGTAGTCAAAGATCCTATGGTAAGTTGGAAAATCGACTGTGTGATTATTAGTATTATGGTATGTTTTTGCATGTCTGTAATAAGTGGTTAAATATACGTCTATATAACAGTTTCTAAGGTGGTAAAACCTATTTTTATATGTATTTTAGACTAAGTTTCAATGAAAAAAGAAAGTAAATAGGCAGAGCGTATAGAGCATGATTTAAAAATAATGTTACTTATATTTGATCGGATTTCTTCAAATATCTACAAATAAAACGCGTTGGAACGTTTTAAATAAGATATCATCATGTTATAATAGTCCATAGTCTCTCTAAAATAAGGTTTATTTTCAGGACATAGTGGAAATCCCCATGGAAGTGTTATTCACTGAAATAAGTCCAAGGATCAACTTATCAGATTTCTTCTCGCTGATATGCCAAGATAAGTGTTGTGTCATCGACATTAGGTCTAATTTACTGTGAGTACTTTCTTTATTGTGTTTTGTATTGAGCGTCATAAATGTTGCTTTGATATGAATCATAGGATGACATAATATGTTAAGACTAGACACGAAAACATCCAAAATATTTTGCGTTAAAAAATATTAACTAAAATATTAAGTGGGCATACGATTTTCAACCGTATTATTCTGAGTTACTCACGTGAATATACTGAGAAAAGCTCTATTAGTTTCTTAGCTGCGTGACGTCGCCGCGACCGCGCACTGCTCATGAGGAAGAACCCCTCTGTGGTTCGAAACTAGTAGACCTTTTCTCAGTATATTCACGTGAGTAACCCGCGATTTTAGTTAACTTATTATTCTGTGATAAAATCCAAAATACATTAACTATATTAGGTAGCTTTATTATACTCATACTTTTTACTATATTGTACTATATACCACCTTCATTTCTTCACATAGTTACGAGAAAAGCTGCATAGATGGCAGCATAAACGTGCCTTACAGTGGAGTCCATTTGGGCCAGCATGAACTAAGGGCTCTAGGGCTCCATCCTCAGAAAGTTATTCAAGAAGCAATTAAACAAAAGAAAATGGTTGTCGTCGCGTCGGCTGAAGATGAGACTGCTCAATTGGTGAGTGGATATATTTAAATAAATTGCATGTTTTATGTCCAGAATAGATGAATAGGAAATATTTTTGGTGTAACTCCCACTTTTAGTTAGTTTTAATAAATTTATTTTTACTTAAGTTAACATCACGCCTTTAACCCCCGAAGGTACAGACAGAGATGCACATTACGGCACTTAATACCACTATAATTGTACTGTGGCATTTAGTGCAGATAGTTTAAGCAAATAGTGAAAAGTAGCTGTTACTTTGGTACCACCCACTTTTCACTATTTATGTTATGAGTCTCATGTAATAGGAGGTGAGCCTTTTGCCATATGCCATATGTTATGGGCCACCGGGCCCAATTCCAGACTCCGTCCTATAACAGAGAATTAAAAAAAAACCAGTATCTAATACTTTGTCCGACCCGAGACTCTTGCCGTGCAGTCGCACTTGTGACCACTCGGCCAACGAGGCAGTCTTCTTTTTACTTCAATATATTGTGAATGTCTATTTATAGTAGACTTAGCGCTGGTTCCACCACCTCTATATAAGTACCTGATAAACTTATGTGACAGATAGTTCATACAAATTACGTTCAAATTTATCTGGTAGATTACGGCTATCCAGATATTGTGAAACAGGCCCTTAAAGTCCATTACGCTGGTAATTATAAGGGTACCAGAGCGCTTAGTACTAAGGGCCCAGCAATGCAGCAGTTTATGCTCATTGATAGTGTTATCAAATATCGAAAGATGGCGTTAGCTGTTTGAGGTAATAAACTGAAATGGAAGTTTATAATACACTGCTTCTTGGTATTATGTATTTACGTTTATTTTGTGGTGAACCCTTCAAAAGGTAGCTTAGATAGAAGTACTAAAGACTTCAAAGTTAAAAGTCACAGCACTTATGTCAAAAATTAAATCGTCTGTCTGTCTGTGACTGGGATCAAACTTATCCAGGTATTCATCATCAGCGCTATAAGGGGCACCAAATTAATTATTATATTTTCGGCTTACTCTCGAAACTGATTGAAGAGGAACTCGACTAGTTTCAACCCATGCTAGAGGCTCATATTCATGAGCAGCATTCCGCGACCCGCGGTGACTGTCGCGCTGCTACTCAGTAGCAGTTACGTGAGTAATAATTAATTTAGTACGTCTCACGAAAGTTGAATTATTATGTTCAATAAGGGGCAACAGGTCATCAGTATTAGTTACCTTCTATTTCTGAAACGTCGTGGTGGCTCGGAGATTTAAGAGGCCCGCTTCTCATGCATGTTACCTATCAATGGCAAGTACCAATGTGACTTTTTCCGAGTTATATGTACTTTCTAAGATTATTTAGACACCACTGACAAACGGTGAAGGAAAACATCGTGAGAAAACCTGGGCTTATCATTTCTAATTCTATATTCGCCAACCCCCATAGAGCAAGCGTGGTGATTAATGCTCAAACCTTCTCCGTGTGAGAAGAGACTTTGCTCAGCAGTGGGCATTTATAGACTGTTGATGATGATGATGATTTCGGAAACAAAAACCCAATAATGGTTTGACCAGTCAGACACTGACTCACTGATCGGTGTCGCGGTGATGAGGCAATATGTGCTAACTGCAATAATATGTCGCCGTTATGTCTAGTCTCGCTTACTTTGAAGTTTACTTCAATGAATGAATAAACATCTGCAACTTCAAACTTTAAGTATAGTCAACACAGCTATTTGCTGGAAAGTAACCATTTGTCTAGTTAAAAGTTGAAATCTCGTAGCTTTGTGCCATCTTCAGATCACAATTTCAGAATGCAGATACTCATTTTACTGAGACTTCTGCCTCGCACAGCAAAACTGTGGAATGATCTGTCGTCGGCGGTATTTCCGAACCGATACGACCTTCAAACCTTCAAGAAAAGAGCGTATTCCTGTTTAAAAGGCCGGCAACGCACCTGTAACTCCTCTGGTGTCCACGGACGGCGCTGATCGCTTATCATGAGGTGATCCGTGTACTCATTTGCCTCCTATTCCTTAAAAAACAAAACCTTAATAATATTTTTCTCGGGATATTTTGTTCGACCCCGAAATTGTAAGTACCGCCCCATACCTTTGCTCAACTGTAGCTACTAAAGCCGCACTCGACTAAATAACAGAACTTAAGTTAGCAACAGCAAGTACAAAACACAAAAATCCTCATTCAAGAATTAAACCCAGAACCTCGTTAACTACTAGACCGACAAGCGAGTTGTAAAAATATAAGTATTTAAAGTATGATAATATTGATGATATCATGAACACAAGTTGTTAGTGTGAGTAATTCGCTGTCAAATGGTCAATAACCTCATTTGAGTAGCGCGTCTTAAGTTTTCGCCGTTTCGTATGGACGCCTACTTTCAAGTCCAACGGCGAACTTTATTTAGATATATTGTACAGTTTAATGTTTAAATTATATCTCATAGATTCGCGAATTTTCTAAATTCGCAGTCATAGCACAGAAAACATTTTTTTTTCTTCTTTGCCCCACACTAGGGCTTTCTCCTGTGTCGTGGGTGCGTTTACAAACATACAAGTTCACATTCACATGACACTCAGACCAGGAATAACAATTTTAGGATTAACAAAAAGTCGTTCAGCGCGGGAATCGAACCCGCGACATATTGCGCAGCAGCTAGTTCTCCACACACCGTGCTAACCGGCTTTACACATGGAGGAATGGAAGGAGGGTAGGGAGGCCTGCACTGCAGTGGGACGATCACGGCTGGCAAAGTATTACAGGGATTTAAAAAAAATCTCACTAGTAGCACTGAGTCTGAAATTGTGCCCGGCATATGGCATTTGGCAATAGGTTCACCCTCTATTACATGGGACTCATAACATAAATAGTGAAAAGTGGGTGTTACATTGTACGGTGGCATTAAGTGCCGTACGCGCCCACGGGGGTACAGCAGAGGTACAGAGTGCACACAATAATACCTTCTTTTGACCACTTATGTTATGAGATATGAGATACAGGTATTTTGCTTCTAATATGAGTATAGTAAAACAAACAGTTGTACCCAATGAATTTCTATCAGTCTATAACAATATACAAGACCTATACTTATGTATGAGCGGTGCTATAAATATAAAATGAATTCCTTATCTATATGGATAGGCGCCGTATTATCATCGCGTTAACCTATTTCCCATGAATATGAAACATTAAGTTTTCTGTAAACAAATGAATGAGAAAGGAATCTATACAAATGAATCAATCTATGTGTTTAATGTAACATTCAAGATTTCATCCTCAGTTGAAGGTTTAACCTTTAAAAAATTTGTTTGGGACGACATCTACAGCCAGGAGTCCAGTAAAATCGGTGACTTTGGTAGAACCTCGACACTATTTTGGCAGACATTAGCGGCTGCAGTAGGGAATTTTTTAGTCAGTTTTAAAATGCATTATTTTGAGATAAAGGTCAATAAAATTGTTCTTGTAGTTGATACCACGATGAAAGACTTGTTCCAAAGATCGTAGGACCTTAGCCTATTTTAAGTTTAGTCAAAATGTTCATATATGCCTCGATGGCCGAATAGTTCCAAGTGCGACTGCCTGGCAAGGGGTCTCGAGTTCGATTCCCGGGTCCGGCAAAGTATTACTGGGTTTTAAAAAAAAAATCTCAGTAGTAGCACGGAGTCTGGAAATGTGCCCGGTATATGGCAATACGCTCACCCCCTATTACATGGGACTCTTAACATAAATAGTCAAAAGTGGGTGTTACACGACAATGTACACAGTGGCATAATGTGCACCTCTGCCTACCCCTTGATAATGTTATGTTCAATATACCTGTCAACTTCACCCTTTAACGCTCATTTTCCTTTACAGTTCAGCGACTACCTAGTCAAGTGCTGCGTACCAAGAGTGTGTATACTTCACGGAGGAATATCAGCTTTATTGACACACGTTCCTTCTCTCTTCACTGTACCACCCAAACGCAATGGACATAAGTGAAATGACGACATAGAGTAGATACAAAATGGAATGCTAAGATGTAGTGGGATTTGGTAAATAGACAAAAAAGTGGCAATATTAAATAAATTATTAGATTATAAAACGTTTGTTGGGCCTAACAGTAGCTCTTTAGAATAAGAATGGTCGTGGATATACACAGTGATTCGTAATTTTGTATTAGCACTCTATTGGTGTATCTTGCGGTTTCTTTTTACGTATTTTTTGTCCAGGAAATTGTGACACATGGGATTATACCTTTGTATTGTTTCTGTGTAAGTTAAATGAATTCGCCATTTTCCGTGTACGATAAAAAATAATGTTTAACAATGCCCTGAACATTCGAAAATATACAAGTCTGATTGTAAGGAAATATTTAAGCTTCTGTATTTAGTAGTGGCAGCATTATGATCTGAATGTAGTTTTAAGCGACTAGTGTTTCTTTTTTGCTATTTTTGTATTATCAGTTTAGAGAAGATAAGCATACATTAGTTGATTTGTAAACAATGAGATTTTATATAAATATAGGTTTTAATTTAAGAATTATTATTTCAGTGTTTCTAAGTATGTAATTGTGCATTCCATTTCATTTGAACGTGTATTTTATTTGCTAATGTTATATAAGGCCCTTTTTCCTCATACAAAACTGAGTTATCCATTTTGTACGTACCAAATGTTTTTACTTATCATGGGTTATGCAATAAGTACCTAATTACATCTTATCAATGGAACAGAGTTGTATATAGCAATAATTATAATATTAACGAAATGGCTATTTATACACAATGCGATGTACTGCTACGAATTTATTTATTAAACATATGAACGTTTATTGTTTGTTATTAGTCCGGTGTTTCGCTGTGAATTCCCACGGCTTCATCTCTCGACCGACTTGCACTTCATTGACTGATAAGTACCCACATAATTACCATCGTATTGTCGTGTGGCCAGCCCCCTAACAGCTCGTGACGTTTTTACCCCCTATCATGTTATGAATGAGAGGTTCGTATCAGGGAGGGGGCCGGCGGCGCGCGGAGTGGGGGGAGGGGGGCGCGGTAGACGCCGCTCTCGCATTCGCCGGCCGTACCTCGCCGCGAGTGTGTGCATCGTCCGCGCTCAGCGTTTCCACAACATTCCTCGCGTGCAGTGAAACTTCATAAAAAAATATTTTGTTGCAAAAACAAATGGGCGTCGATAGTGAAACGTAAACTTGTGATGATGCACAGTGTTCTGTGAAATTTACGTCGTTTGACAGTTTGTTTTAGTGCAGTTTACATTGTTTCCGAGTTCCGCCCGCTCGGAGGAGGACAGTAAGGGAGTGACAGTTTGCTGTGTTTTGTGCGAGTTTTCTTGGGGAAGTTCACTGTGTTCATTGTCGGAGGCCGTCGTGAACACCGGCCCCGACATGGAGGCTTACTTCGACATCTCGAACGACCTGAAGGACGTCTGGGAGGCGGACATTGACCCGGTGAGTTGACCTTGCTTGATATCAGTTATCGCTCCGAGGTGATGATGTGATTTAATTAGCGATCTGCCAAACAACGGTGAAAGAACATGTTATTGTTTCGTTGAAGTGATTGCAACACAAGTTCGAATGGTAAAGTCGAGCGCTCCACGGACGTTGAAACAATTGCGGTACAATACGCGAGTGAAGAAAAAGTTTGTTACTTGCATACCTCGTTGCATTCACATGAATACGTTTATACCGTCATAAAAGTGCGAGACTGGAATGAAAGTTTGCTTCAGCGTTGCTGATAACAAACTCTGTTGCTAAAACCTTGTTTATCAAACTGAGTAGGTAGCTAGGTATATGAATGACCGAAGCCGAAGCATAAGCATGAAACATATTGGGCATGATTGAAGAGCTGAAAGTTATGTATACTTTCTAAGAGAGACAACCCTGGTAGCAATCTAGAAATTGGTGAGAGATAGCCGGGCAGGTATGTGCACAAACTTTCGTTTATTCTGTTGATAAACTAAGGTTGAATCACGTTTTAAACGAGGCGCGCACAATGTACCTATATTCGTACGGTAGGTAGTAATTAAATCAACATAACAACGTCTTCGCCTTAGTGGCGTAATTCCCAAGACAAACGAATGTTTTAATCGATAATTTGAATCGATTTGCAATAATCTAGAATGTTCGTTAATTCTTGATTAGCGATATGGAAATCCTTAGAGAGTTGGATTAGATTTCTAATCGATAGTCCAGTCACGCTCAATATGGATTAATTAAGACTAGGTTATGTTCTGTAATGCGAGCTGGATGCCTAATTTAGTATTTATTAGGTAGGTGCACGAAGTTGCTTAAGTGTTGGGAACCGGTTGAGACTAGTTATTAACATTTTTGATGTAACAAAAAGGAATTCGCGTTTAATTTTCTTTATGAAGTTCTCTTGACGGTGGTTCAATTTGTAGTAGCCGTTTGTTTGTTTATTTACCTACTATGTAGATTGTTATTGTTTTGAAGAATGTAGGTAGATATGCGACTACCTACCTATCTCGTTTTTTGTGACAGATACAATCGACAACGAAGTATTTAATGAAAAGGTACCTTCGACTTGAAGACTGCGATGTGCTATTAAACTGTTTTGTTTCTTTACCTAGTATTATGACGTAGGTAGGTATTTATTCATATAGGTTGGTAATATCACTTGAAAATAAATAGTAAATAAGGTTTCATTACAAATAGATTGTTGTAGGCATTCAGATTGTTATCAAAGTCAATAAATAAGTCGGATGGGACATTCCTACGTGATTATTTGTGTAATTTATATCTCGTGTACTATCATAGATTTACTTAGGCATATTCTTATATAAGAAATTGTTGATTATTTCGCATTTAATTATATGATTGATAATGAACATGACTCCATCCATTATCCTATCACAATGTTCTTCAAAATACGAATTTAATAGTCGGTTAGTATGAGGTACAGTCGCGGTCATATGGACATTAACACTAGCTTACTTCAATGTGAGGTTACAGAATCAACCCTATATTTTTAGAATAACGTTGACAATGATTTTCTTCCTTATTTTGCTTAACACTTTAAAATGTTATTAAACTTATCAACATGTAAGATAAAATGAAAAACATCGTACCCTATAAAAAGGTTGTTTTATAATCATAACAATTTGTAAAAAAGCTATACAACTTCTGAGGGGAGCAAGGGAATCAGTTTCAATTCACTTCCTAATTCTAACCCTCGGCGAAATAAGGATTCAAACAGATTTTATCATTCAATTTTATTGTTCGTTAAATGAAGCCATTGAATTAAAATTCTCCATTTTCATAATATACTAAATCAGGAAACAAACAATTACGTAATGGATACTTAATATTATCCTGTATTGTTCGAAATAATTATTATGATATTGTGGCACAGATACCAACACAGATATTTTACTGAAATAATAAAATTTAAAATCAAATCGAATGTTTAAGAAAGTTTGATATGAAAAAAATGGAGACTGCAAGAAAATGTTTAAGAATCGAATAAGAATTAAAATTGAATAAGAAGAACAAAACATTTCAAAACAATTCTTCATGGACGTTATATGGCAGAAGACGTTTTGAAATTAGAATACAAACTTCAAACGTCAATCATAGTTTTTTTTAAAATAATCAGCCAGCACCAAACAGTCTCAATCAACGTTGCCTACTTCACACAGAATTGAATCGTTCATAGTTCACTAACATCATGCCACTGTTACCCAATTTACATACCTACACTATTAATATTTTACACACACATCCCGAGTCCTGTCTTTTACGTTCAAAGAATTATTAATACTACATACATTTTACCGTCCGTAATCATCAAAGAGTAATCGTTCAATCAATGGATGTATTTAATCTGTGGCCGGTGCGTCTATTGACCTCTCGTACAAAAAAGGTCTGCACCGTATCAAAACATTTTTTTATAAAGTTTTTTTTTTACGATGAAGTTGTGTTAACAAAAAATATTATACCGTTCCTTTTTTGTTTTTCATACTAGTTCATTCGGTTTCGTAGAAATTAGGAAAGTTATGCTAATTTGAAAGAATGACCAATTTCTGTTGAAAAAAGGGTGGACGAAATTCCAAATGCATCAAGAAACTAAAGAAGGTTTCATGCAAAAAAAAGATGGAAATAAAAAATATCGCAGGTCTTACATTGCTCATCATAGCTTATGATACCTAATTGATAAATAAAATTAATGATAAATAATTTTACTATCTGTATTGATATACATTACTAAACATGATTGATATTCTTAAAGATGGTCATATGACTTTATGTTGTGTGCTGATTCCAGAAATGTCTGTGATTTAAAAGTGTTATATAATTTAACTAGGTAGCTGTTGCTCGCGACTTCGTCCGCGTCGAACATGAATTTTATAGACAAACAGACACACAGACAAAAATTGTAAAAAATGTTATTTTGGTATGTCTATCATATGTATGTAGTAATTAAAGCGGTTATTTTAATATTACAAACAGTCACTCCAATTTAATTTTTCTGTTATATATAAAGGTCTCTGCACACAGCAGGCGCATATTAAGATATAGTAAGTAGATAAAATAAATAATTAAAAAGAATACTTATCGTTAATTCTTACAACGGCTGACAGCGAACATAGGTAAATAAACAGTCGTGAAAGAATAAAAGATAAGTAAGCAATTCTCCTAGAATTTATCATGTCTGAGATGTTTACGATCCAATAGTAACGTAAATTCTTGAGACCTCAGTATTAATTTATTCATTTCAATGCAAATTAAGAACGTATTAAGTCCATAAACATGTCTTATCCTTCTAATCAGACATTAATCTAACTATTACTCACATAAAAATTCGGTGATACCTAAGTGGGTTAGACGAAGTCAAAGCGTCAAAGTCAAAGTCCACTGGTCTTATTCTTCCATTCAAATCGGTCTTTACTATCCATGCAAGAGCATAGACGACATAATAAATACATACATACATACATACATAACCTCACGCTTGTCTCCCATGGCTGGGCAGAGACTATGAAACGCTAATAGCAACGATTCCTACAACCCATTCGCTGCATCATCAGTCTTTTCATGCATGCTCATCTGTTAAGGTTACTTCATAAATAGTAGCTTACTTTAGCTTTACTATGGAGGAAAGCACAAACATTAATGGCAATGGCATATAAAACTGTCATTTCAATTAACTATGTCGACTCCATAAAAAAATAACATGTCACTAAAAAGAAACCACTGCCACAAGGCAGTAACTGCCATAGTTTTTACTTGAAATTCGTAAGTTTTTGGAAAAGACCATCAACTAGAAGCACCTGTAACTCGTTTTGTGCTATGCGATGACGTCACGGTTGGTTGTTAATGGCCGACAATCCGGCTGCGTCGCGGAGACGTTTTGCATGCGTTCATTTGTTCCGTGCGTGAACACTTCCAGATTTGGTCAGGTTGGCTGGGCGTACATTTCTTATGGCTCTCGGTGTACGGTACAGTGTGGTGCGTCGACCTGGTACGTTGAACTAAGGGGCCCGGCGCCGCAGGTGCTTTTTTTATTAATATTAACTTGTCCGTTCATTATGATGGACAGTGGATGCTAGTTAAGAATATTTAGGAGTTCGGTTAAGTCTTGTTATGCTATTAAAACGATGTTATTTCTACATTATGGCTGCCAGTTTGAATTATGGCTTACGTTTATGGTCTTACGTTTCGAATTTGTATGTATTATGTACAGCACTATAAAAATTGCTGCCTACTTTTTGTTATGCTCCTAAGTACAAAAATGAATTAGATTTCTTTTACATCCTACAGTAGGTAAGTGTGTATAAATCTTAAAATGGTACTTATGATAAAATTTTATTACACCTACAAGTTTTTCAAACCCTAACATATAAAAAATCTAATCAAATGCAAATTGAGGGACCACGCTTAGTGTACCTATTTCAAGTCTTGGTATTTTTCTCCAACTTTTTAACAAGTTTGAATATTAATATGACTTACTCTTCAGATTTCCCAAGATAAGTTTAATTAAAAGATTCAATAATCATAAAATGAGCAGTGTGGTGTCTATATATCGGCCTAAAATAATTTTTATGCGACAAAAAAAATCTTCGAATGCCTAACCTTCTTGGAGATGCTAATTTTGCGGTTGGCAACAATTTCCATACATTATACATTAAAACGATAACGTGCCACGATGAGAACTTGTATAGTGTATGAGAAAATTAATTATTTATTATAATGCTTAACTTAGTTTTGCAATTCGGTTTCTAAATAACTTTTTCGTTGCAGAATTGTCAGTAGGTACTGTAACTAAACAAAATACGAGTGTATCCGTATTCAAAAAATGTCCGCCTACATCCGGTGACCGGTAATGCGTCATTTCTTTTACTCACACCCGATAGGGTTGTCAAATGTCACCCGGTATTCAAGGCGATGCATTCTCTTTGGTGTTGCTAGCAACCGTTTAAAATTAATAAGTT